GACATGGGACGGGGCGTTGTCACCCACCCAGTGACCCGCCCAGCGTGGGCTGGCAGTGTCTGTAACGGAAATCCCCGGGCCTGTCCTGTTGGTGTTGCTGGCACCTGAACTCGCTGGGGTTCTGTGTGTACCTGTGCTGTGGTCACGTGGCAGTGCTGGCAGAGCTCTCCGGCTTCTGCTGCCGTCCCTTGCGCTCCTCACATGGGTCTGAGCCTCCTCGAGGGAGGAGGTGCTGGGCCTGGTGTGACCAGGCGCTTTGCTCAGCCTGGCCTTGTAACGGGACGCTGCTGAAGCAGGCGGCTTTTCCCAACCACCGCCCAGGCCTCCAGCCCACAGATGGGGTTACTTTTAACAGCCAAGCAGGTGACATGCAGCTTTCCATTCGAGCTTCCCGCTCGATGGATTCAGCTGCATCCATTTGATGTTCCCTGTGGGAAGCTCTGTACAAACGGACCCTTTGGAAAGGGTTGGTTAAACCCTGAAGAACCTCCAGCCATGGGAGCGATGTGTGTGGTGGCTGCTCGTGCTGCGCCCGGTCGTGGCGGGGAAATCAGCACATCGCTTCTGTAGCACTGTGAAGACGCGTCGACTCTTGAAACCTTTCCTGCCCAGAGGTGGAGGTTGTCATGTGGTTTATCTCTGTGCGGAACAGCTTCCCTCTTTACCCACTGCGGGATCTGTAGTTGTGTTCAGTGATGATATTCTCCACCCCCGAATGAGTTGCCACAATTCTGTCCTAGTTTTGGTTAAGCAGTGGAACTGGTGTGGGTTTGTGTTGTGCGTGCGGTGCGGGTTTACGTTACTCCAGCAGTCCCACAGGGTGGTTTGTAGTGCTGTGAGTCATGTTTAAACCCGTCTCTTCGCAGGATTTGGCTGTTCGATTGACTGATGATAGCGATCCCTTTTTCCTGTATAACCTTGTCCTGTCTGAGGAGGATTTCCAAAGGCAAGTGAAATGCTGACGTCTCATCTGCAAGAATGTTCCAGATGCAGAGTAGCGAAGGGCTGTGTTTAGCTTGGAATGGTCTCAGTGCCGAGGGTCAGGCCTTTGTCACTTGCGGGGGTCTGTCAGTACTGCAGTAGCATCGGTCTCTGTGGGACAGCCATGACCAGGAGAGGGGCTGGCCGGGGCTCCCGCCAGGGAGAGACCAGGAGAGGGGCTGGCTTAGTTTTTTCTGCCAGCATAAATGAAGTATTTTATAGGAAATAACCTCGGCTTCTGCGTGTTGTTGATGTGCTGCTCTTGATCTGTTCATGCAGTTTGAAGTCCCAGCAGGGTCTCTTGGTGGACTTCTCTGCTTTCCCGCAGAAGTTTATCGATCTGCTTCAGCAGTGCATTCAGGAGCAGGACAAGGATCTCCCGAGGTACGTCGTGAGCAAGTGCATTACCCCGTGTGTGTGCGGGGTTCTTCAGATACTTGTCAGCCCCGCAGAGTGACAAGAGTAGAACAGGGGGCACTTACCTCGCCCTGGGTGCATCGGGATGTCGCTGGTGGGTGTTACTGGCGAAACCCAGGTCTTGGATGACTGAGCAGTGAGTTGGTATCCGTAGTACCCCCCCGCCGGCGGTGAAGCTGGCGAGTGTCACAGGCTGGCAGATGTGCAAGGATGCGGCACTGGCCCCTTTTTTACCAGTCTAATGCAAGGGAGCTAACCCGAATTCGGTGGGCTGGGGTGTAAATGGTTCCCTTCTCCAGGAGGCTGAGCTGTAGGTGTTCTGACAAGGCCTGTCATGTCACTGTGAAGACGGGGGGTCTGAGGTCACCCTTCCCTGTCATGGCCTTTGCGTGTGTCACTGCTGTCGGGGGGTTGCTGAGGAGACCCCCGTCTGGAGCACCCAGCTCTGCTCCAGCAGCCCAGCCGTTCCTCATGTCTGTGCCCTGGCTGTAGGGTACCCGAAGTACGGAGCCTGGTTTCCTTTTGAATGCGGATACAAAGGCCGCACTCGGCTCTGGCCTCTTGAATGTGAGATGGGCTTACAAACCCCTGCGGACAGCCAGGCTGAGGAGTTCCACACGTCTCTTCGCGGAAGGTGGGGGCGTTTCAGTGGGTGCTTGTTTGTGGTGTCAGCTACAACACAGGGGGCGGGTCTCAGGTTTTTTCAAACAAAACTGGACAGCCTCTTATTGCACGTATAAAACCTGTTTTGTTTGGTAACAGCCCATAGGATCTCCACGTAGTTTCAGGGAAAGAAGTACGCTAACCACTGGATTATTTTCTGTTTTCCGTAGGTTTCTGCTGCAGCTGGTTTCTCCAGCCTCCGTCCTGGATCACACGCCTGTCTCTCTAAATGTGGTGGAGACCAACCCTTTTAAACACCTGACCCATCTCTCCCTGAAGTTCCTACCAGGGAACGACGCAGCGATAAAGAAGTTTCTAGCCAGCTGTTTGAAAGGCCTTAAGGTAAAATCATGGCTGCGCCTGGGCGCTGCGGGAATGCGGTTCTCGGGTCAGCCTGTACCACAGCCTGCTCAGGATGTGGTACGCTTCGGCTCGTGCATGTTGCTGCTGCGGTTACCTGGGCGCGTGTCATGAAACGGAGCTGTGCTGTCACTCGAGCAGTGGCAGCGCGACCTGTACGGTCAGCCGAGCGCTGTGGGCTGAACCCAGGTATTTCCTGCGTGCGGCACGCAGCCAGGGGATGCTTCCGAGAGCTTCGCTGCCTGGTGCCTGGTAGCTCCGTGCTGATGGCCGGGGCAGCCACCAGCGCAGAGTGCCGCTCGCCACTGGTCCTCGTCCTGCGGGGGGTTCATTCAGCCCACGCACACGTGTGTCGTGCAGGGGGCGGGAGCTGTCGCAGTCAGCAGCCAGGTTTTCGGTAATGAGAAGTTGAGGGTCTCTCCGTTCCGGTTCCATGGCCCGGGGTTTGCCTGTCTCCCACGCTGCTGCCGTGTTTGTAGCCACCTCGCGGGCTGTTTTAGCACCGTGCACAGAGTCCTTCAGCTGGCTTGTTGTTGGTGTGACTCCTTTGTAACCAAGTCTGGGATAAGACACTGTTTCCCCATGGAAACTAGGTAAGAGTTTGATTGGGGTTTTGACCTTGTGAGGTAATTCCAGTTTTTTGCGCTTACTAATTATATCTTACTTGACGCGACCTTTGTCAAATGATGAGTGTTCAGGCAGCCTGAGGGTTTGTGGTTGCTCGGGCAGGGGACACTGGTGAAACGGGAGCTCAGTACTGCGTGTGAGGAGCCGAGGGTTTGACTGGTGTCCGTTTGCACGCAGGAAGACAAAGCGATGCTGGAAGAAAAGCTTATAAAAACCGAGGAGGATCTGACCAGGCGGCTGAGCTGTGCTCAACAGGTACTGGGAATTCCTGACTTCCCTCTTTCAGCTGCGCTTTTAATCTGGAAAACATCCCTTTTTGTGGGCTGGGTGGTTGGCCACTACCTGGCAGGGCGAGGAGTGATGAGAAGAGCAGCCGACTGTAGCTTTTCCCAGGCACGAGAGAGCCTGCGGCTGAGCCACGCCCGTTCTCCTCGTGCGAACCCAAATCTCCTGTGGTGCAGAGTCCGTCTGCACACACAGTACATCCCAGATACAGGGTAGTGTGAGGATGAACACACTCTGCGTATCCCGTGACCCGTCAGAAGCCCTTGTATTTGGAGACATTGGGAAGCCACGGTAAATAAACCACAAGTCTTGGGCTTCGTGTTACTTGTAGGTTTGCAGTCAGCCCAGCAGTGAGTGCACGTTCGTGTTCCAAGGGGACGATTTGGGTCAGATTCTACAATGACCAAGATGACTCTTGACTGTCATGAAAAAGAGAAATTCAATTAAAACTCCTATTATGGAGCTTTTTTGGAACGGAATACTTGTTCACCTCATCGCTGAAGTTTCAGTGGGAGTTACTGGAATGTGTTTGCTGACCTGGAATGCAAAATTACAAATCAAAAATAGGAAAAGATGCTGCTGAGGAGTTTGGGGTTTCCTGTCCCGTACTGGAGCACGTCATTCTGGGAACGAGGCACGTCAGCAGACCGGGTTCTTGCTCTTAATAGTTGTTGGAAGTAAATACAGCTGGAAATGAAGGTTCAGTTATCCACAGTGTCAGAAAGGCTCCCTCACCTGCTCGGTGCCAGACTTCCCTGTTTCTGGAATGGGTGGATATTTTGGCATCTGGGGATGGAGATTAGCCTTTCTTAGTAATTCCATGTCCTTTGGAAGAGGTGACAGCAAAGAGCTGTTCAGTGCTGACCGAAATGCTTAGATTCTTCAAACTGCTTTGTCAAACAGAGCTTGTCAGAGAAGAGCCGAGAACTAGAGAAGCTGAGAAACGAATGGACGTCACGCGCTGCGGCTCTAACGAGCACGCACACGCAGGAGCTGGCGAGTGAAAAGGAAAGAGCTCTCCAGGTATGGCAGCAGGAAGGGATTCACGCTGCTTTTGCGCATTCCTGGCTTCATTCCCGCGTTCGGTGAATAACTGGGTGGTTTCTTGGCTTCTCGCAGGCACAAGCTCAGTACCAGCAACAGCAGGAGCAGCAGAAAAAGGAGCTGGAAAACCTGCACCAGAAGAGCATTCAGCTGTTGCAGAACAGGCTCTCGGAACTGGAGGCCATCAACAAAGATCTGACGGAGAGGAGATACAAAGGAGACGCCACAGTCAGGGAGCTGAAAGCAAAGCTTTCGGGACTGGAGGAGGTACGGCTTGCTTGCTTCCGCCAGCGACCTTCTGGGGTTTGGCACTGCCTGCCTGGGCGTGAGATGGGCAGTACAGCAGGTCAGCATCCAGCTCTTGTTCTGCAGCTTGCTGGCTCTTCAGCTGTATCTGAATTACTAGTGCAGGCTCACCCGGGAAAACAATACATTACAATTCCTTCCCAATGTTGCAGGAATGTCAGAGGGCGAAGCAGGAGGTTCTGTCGCTGCGGCGGGAGAACGCTACCCTGGATGCCGAGTGTCACGAAAAAGAGAAACTCCTGAACCAGCTGCAGATGCGGGTTGCTGTCCTGGAGCAGGAAATCAGGGACAAAGACCAGCTCGTCAGCAGAACCAAAGAAGTGTTGGAGGCAACACAGGAACAAAAGGTTCCTTCGCCTTTCTGAGTAACTTCCCCTAAGGCTCGGCAGAACCCCAGCCGCTGAGCAGCGGTCGTGTACGCAAGTGGGTTTGGAACGCAGTTAGAGGCTGTAAATGCTGGCGGGATTTGGCCGTACAGCGTTGGGATACTGTGGGACGGGGGTGCAGGTCGTGGCACGTGTTGCAAACAGCAGTGGAGGAGCTGGAATGCTGCGTCTGATGGAGAGGCAGGGGCTGCGTTTCGTGTCAGGATGAGCTCTCGGAGTGCTGAGGTTCTGCTGGAACTCGTGTGCAATGCCTCGTGTGTCTTGACAATAGTTTCCGTCTTCTTTTCAAGGCGATACTGGAAGAGAGCACAGAGAGAACCCAGAGCCACACTGACAAACTAGAGACAACAATCAAGTCGCTGTCGGCTGAACTTCTTAAGGTCGGTCCGAACGTGCCGTTATCCTTGTGGAATGTCTCACTTTTAGGTCGGTCTTTATTTTGAGAGGATCTGATTTTCTTTTGGATAGGCTAATGAGATCATTAAGAAGTTGCAAGGAGACTTGAAAACTCTGATGAGTAAATTAAAATTAAAAAACACAGTAACAATTCAATCTGGCAGAAAAAGAAGAGAGACTTCAGAAAGAGCAGCGGGAATTGCAGGAGACAGGACAAGCTCTTCGCGTGAAGGAGCAGGAGGTAGGGTGGCAGGTGGCGCTCCGGGCCGTAAGTGCTGCCGAACATCATGTGCTGGTGTCCGTGCTAACGGTTTATCGCCGCAGCACAGTCGTCTGTCGCCCTGGGGCCGGATGTGCCCTGAGGCAGCACGTTCATTTAAACGTGATGTCGGCTCGGTCACCTTACGCTGCCTTGATTCCGTGTGATACTGGCTCCTGATGGTGTCACGGGACGTTGCAGGTTTGCAAGCTGCAGGAACAGCTGGAGGTGACGGCACAGAAACTAGAAGAGAGTAGGCAGTTACTGAAAACCAACGAGAACGGTAGGTTTGTACCGGCTGCTTCTCTCGGTAAACACGCCATGGGGATCCAGCCGCCGCTGAGCAGTGACAGAGCCACGGGCTGGGGCTGAGCAGAGGCTTCCCCGGGGCTGGGGCTGCCTCCAGGGAGGAGCAGGGGCACGTGGGGGTGGAGCAGCTTGGACAACGCTTCCCATGAGACCAGGGTGCCCAGCAGGCTGTCCCCTCTGAAGAAGGGTTGCTTTCAGTTTTGAGCCTGGAATGGGGTGGGCGTGAGCTTGACCCCCTTCTCCCTCCCTCAGTGATCACGTGGCTGAACAAACAGCTCAACGAAACGCAGATGGCAAAGCTGCCGGAGGCTTCGGCGGGCACCCGCGCTGGGGTTAGGGCTGCCGGCTTGCCACACGGCACGGTAAGGCCCCCGCTCTGGGGTTAGGTCTGCCGGCTTGCCACACGTCACGGTAAGGAGCGGCTGCAAGCAGCGGGGCTGCTGGTCATGGGCTCCGGGAGCTTGTGGCGTCGCGAGGGAAACAGGTTTTCATCCCCTGGGCCCTGCTCTCGGTGTGGGTGGGCTGATGGCTATTGCTTGTTTACGTAGGGGTTGTTTGGAGTAATGGAATAGCCCGTAGGGTGCTGCTGGGTGCCCTGGCTTCCAAGTGAGAATTGACTAAGCTCTCATTTACTAAAACACACAAGACGATGCAAAATCCTCTTGGGAAGGATGAGGTACAGGTGACGGGGAAGAAAGGCAGCGTTTTTGTGCTGCGAGGTTACAGTGCTAATGCCCTTTGTGTAGGTCGAGGAGGAAAGTGTCGCAGTGAACACTCCTCCGTGGTGTTTACAGATGTGAAAGAGGGGTAAGAAACAGGAGGTGCTGTCAGCGCCGTCGCTCGTGGCTGTCCCCGTC